CAACATCGTACAGCCCGACGCTGAAAATCTATGCTTTTGACCTTTATTCACCTCTTCCCCTCTCCCTCCAAATTTAAAACCCTATTCAGTGCTCCACTCCAACGCCAGCAGAGCAGACGCAGCAACAGGACAACCTCACTCCCATTATTCCTCTGTCAGATTCTCCGCAACCTTTCCACCGACAAAACTGCCGGCCCGCCACCCCCAACAGCCTCCGCAGAGCCCTCAGTCTCAGTCGATAAATTCTTCTCAATTCCCCCTTCTTCTCCCATGGCACCCGTTGATCCTCACTCCTTCACAGACTCGACTCACCCCCTCACAACCCACATCTCCCTTTCTCTCTACTTTGACTTCCCATCATCCACCATCCTCGCCTCCACCCTCATCTCCCTCCCTACCACCCACTCTGGCCCTTTCACGCTTGACACCCGCTCCCTCTCCATAACCTCAGTTCTTGATCCCACCACCCTCACCCCACTCCCCTTTACCCTCACCCCACCAATCCCTCATCCTGTTTTCGGCCAGTCCCTCATCATCACCCTCTCCAATCACTCCCAAGTCATCATCATCTCCAAAACCTCAGCTTCTAGCTCAGCCCTTCAGTGGCTTTCGCCCCCGCAAACATTTAATAAAGCCTTTCCTTTTGTTTATACCCAGTGCCAGTCCATCCATGCTAGGTCTATTTTCCCTTGCCAGGATACCCCTGCTGCCCGCATTCGTTATGATGCTAAGTTGAATATCCCCCGCCAACTGTTCGCTGTTATGTCCGCGAGACATGTTGATAGGCGGGCCCCTGTTGTCGGGTCTGGTGAGGCTAGGGGAGCTTGTGATGATTCTCTCTGGTGTGGGGATGATAGGGTTGTGGACGATTTTTTGATGGAGCAGCCTATACCGCCTTATTTGTTTGCTTTTGCTGTTGGAGAGTTGGGGTTCAGGGATGTGGGACCACGCTCGAGGGTGTATTCGGAGGCGGCTCCAGCAGTGTTGGATGCTGCTGCTAGGGAGTTTGCTGGGACAGAGGATATGATCAGGGTTGGGGAGAAACTTTTTGGGCCTTATGACTGGGAGAGGTTCGATTTGTTGGTGCTGCCCCCGAGTTTTCCTTATGGTGGGATGGAGAATCCGCGGATGGTGTTCTTGACACCCACTGTCATCAAGGGTGATGCCACTGGGGCGCAGGTGGTGGCTCATGAACTTGCTCATAGCTGGACGGGAAACTTGATTACTAACAAGACCAATGAACATTTCTGGTTGAATGAGGTATCTAATCTTTAGAATATAGACTAAGGAACAATTGATTGAGGCCTTGCTTATGTTGTGATGTGAGTCAGCAGAGATATTTCCTGAAATGGTAGTAATTCCACGGATAAGTTAACAGATATAATCTAGATTATCGTGTTCTATTTTTGATTTCAGCAAATGGTTTACAACCTTAAACTGCTCTTATCAGTGTTGTTTTTTGTTAGGGCTATGAAAGTGTGGTTTGTCACAGTTTCCTATTGAATTTCCACAAAGCCTGTGATTACAAGGAATTGGTGGCATCCTTGTGGATGATCTTAAATTAACTGTTGAATGAGGAATTTGCAGTTAAATTGATTAATACTTTGTTTTTTACAAGAGACTTATGACGGTAATATTACATATCAACAAGAACAAAATCACCACGAATGTTTTCTGTATTTCTTTTGCAAGTCTTTGCTAAATTGATGTTCTTTCTTGAGTTATCTGACTATGAAAGATTAGGTTGGTGCCCTCTTTAGGTCTTGTACCTCCTCCAACTGGAGTTGGTTGTAATTCATTTCTGATGGCTGTGTAGATCGGTGGAAGAATTGTTAATGTAGCAGAAATGGTACAGGGGGGTAGTGGACATCTTTAGTAGGAGTACTAGAATGACTTAAACCAAAATAAAATAGCTCTCACCTTTTAATGCCTTGAAAAGATGTACTATAAGTGATGGTATTGAACTCTCATGGAGTAAATTATTAAAGGATCCTATCTATTTTTTAAGCTGCTTCTTGAAGGTTTTCCCCTGGAACTACACAATTCTGTAGTTGAGAAAGTCACTTTTATGTGCATTAATGTGTATCTGTATTGTATATGGATTTTCTTTTTGTAGTTAGGAGTAGAACAATGATTGTCCTTGTCATGTTGGATGCTTCTATATGAAAGAAGTGGACAGGCAAAGGATTTCTTGTACTTGCTTGAATTTTGCATAGATTTAATTCATCACAAAATTTACATGTTTATAGGGTTTTACCACTTACGCGGAGCGGCGAATAGTGGAAGCTGTGCAGGGGGAAGACAGAGCTGCACTGAATATTGGAATTGGTTGGAAGGGGCTTGTCGATGCAGTTGAGAGATTCAAGGATAACATGGAGTTTACAAAGCTGAAAACGAACCAAGAAGGTGTGGATCCAGATGAAATATATTCTGAGATTCCATATGAGAAAGGTTTCCAGTTTTTGTGGCGTATTGAGAGACAGGTGTATATGCCAGTTTTTCCCTATGCCTTCAAGGCTGTTAATTGTTGACTAACGGATGTTTCTTTTTATCAGTCTAATTTCTTTCTTCACGTGGAAAATATTACCACTGCCAATCTATTTACTTTAATTAATAAGAGGGACTTCATCTGAAGTTATTAGCAGTTTAATAGATTTTTGTTTTCCCAAATTCAGATTGGAAGACCTGCATTTGATGAATTCATCAAAAAGTACATTGCAACCTTCAAGTTCCAATCTATTGATACAGACACGTTTCTCAATTTCTTAAAAGCTAACGTACCTGGAATTGAGAATCAGATTGATTTAAAACTATGGACAGAAGGTATTGGCATCCCACCTGACGCCATGGAGCCAGTTTCCAGTATCTATACAAAGATTGTGTCACTGGCTAATGAGTTTAAACTAGGCAGGATGCCGAGGGAGGATGAAGTTGCCGACTGGCATGGACAAGAGTGGGAGCTTTACCTTGAGAACCTGCCTAAATATGTTGAAGCTTCACAAGTAAGTTCTTTTGGAATAGAAAATCTGTGGTAATTATTTTTTATTGTTGTTTCCTAGACCTGTCTTTGTATCTTTTCTTTTACTTATCTATGTTTCATTTACTTGGAAATCATTCCTGGTAGTTAATAAATAGCATACAGGATGAGCCTTAATACTTTTCAATTGCTTTGTTGGTCTCATGGGGATATCTTAATGTTTTGTATCCTTTAACTTTTTGTTTATACTAGCCTTTTGTTGTATGGAATGTATTAAAAAACTGGTAGGTATCATTTGATCCTCATGGAGATATCTTAATGTTTTGTATCTTTCAACTTTTTGTGTATGCTAGCCTTGTGTTGTATGGAATGTATAAAAGAACTGGTAGGTATCATTTGATCCTTCAATTCCACCATGTGTTTCTGAGTTTGGAGTCTGTTGAAATTATTGACTTTGTTAATTGCTTTTGGGCTTGGATAAGCAGAAGCAGATTTAAATTGGTTGCTACATTTTCTCAGACGTTAGAAAAATTTGTTTCTTACTGTTGTTGATAAATGACAATCCTTTGATTGACCTCCAAGCTCAACAGATCTTTCTATATTTTTGATTGATCAACTAATTTAATATGTTCAAATTGGTTCTCAACTTTTCTAGCCTTGAAAGAAATTAGATGTTGACAGGTTTGAGATGACTTACGGCTTAATTCTGGCCTAAAAAAGATCTTGAATCTTACATTTGTACATCTGGAAAGAGATGAACTACAAGTAGAGTTTTCTCTCAATTAGCTGTAGTTTTTCACTGCTACCATTCAAAGATGCGGTAGCTTTTAGGAGAGCTTGATACAAGCGGTTAAGAGGATGAAGTTATTGCTCTTGTGAAGAATAGGCCTCTTTGTGGCGTTAGTGTATCTGTTCAACTTGAGAAAGTGTCCAATTGACTCTAAATAAGCATTTATCTATTTCTTTGGCTACAGTTTGGTTCCTTTATGCTATTTGGTACTTCCCAATGCTTTGTTTCTGCCCTTCTTATCAAGATACATAACACCAAAGCCTTGGCTTTATGAGTTAAAAGGATATGCTTAATTGATAGTTTCAGGTGAGAAATAACAGCATTTTGTGATGAAGAATTAAGATTGTAAAGTTGGTTTTGTCTTTCAATTTGCGGTTGTTGCACAGGCTTTAGCTTTGGATGCTCGCTATAGGCTTTCAGAATCAAAAGACTATGAGGTCAAGGTTGCTTTTCTTCAGCTGGCGATTGCATCCAAGTGCAGAGACTATTTTGGTGAGGTGGAGAAAACTCTAAAAGAAGTTGGGAGGATGAAGTACCTTCGCCCACTTTATACTGCTCTTGTTCAAGGTGCTGGAAAGGATGAAGAGAAAATTTTTGCGAAGAGGGTGTTCTCAGAAGCTCGAGATTGCTACCATCCAATAGCTCAGGGAGTGGTTGAGACCATCCTGGGAAAATACGTGTAAAATAGCATATATGTTCGAACAATATGCACTAATCTAATTTCTGATGTAACTTTTGATGTCTGGTATCTTACGTGCTGGTGCCTTAAATGCTTAAAAGCTAAATCATCCTTCTGGGTGCTTTTGTTGATCTAGATTTCTTTCTAACTACTGGATTTTTGTACAGGTTTTATTGGTAAGTTTGTTCCTTTGATAATTCCCATATTCATAAACCAAGACCTTTTTGGAGGCCTTTAGCTGCAAAGTTGTGAACTTAAAACAGTCATGCAGAAGCTTGGAAGCTTTACTTGGGGACTTCTATCATCCTTTTACTTCTTTAACCCATTTAATGAGTAAGGGGCTGGTTTGTACGAAGGAGCTGACTTAGATTGTTAACATAATTATATGAAGTTAGATTGTTTTGGTAACTGAGACCTTGACTCTTCTTCATTTAATGTCTTAATCATCAATTTCCATAATTTTCTTTAGCTAAAGAATAGCATGTTCTACTAACTCTATCTCTTTCTCATGTATTTGATATTTGTTTGTGGTTCTGGATATAGCAAGGGTCCTGTTCCTCTTGCAGTGATGTAGTTTTTCATAGAAGTATAACACTAAAAGAGAAACATACAAGGCACTATAGCATTAGTTCTAGGAACATCGTCTCTTTTGCCCAAAAACAGTAAATATGCCAATTCTATATGGGCTATCAAACGCTTCTTGTGGAAACCTTCAATTTCAGTCCATGTCTCATATGAAGTATCACAGAATTACCTGGAACAGTTTGATGTCCTTCCAAGATTTGAAAGTGGAAACGACAGAGAAGGGCTACTGCAACAATTTTCATTTGGATGAAAGAAATTTCCTTGCCCTTGCAACTCCTAGGTCCTGCATTGAATGCTGTAAACTTGAAAGATGGTTCATGTGTAATGCCTACTTGCTCTGAAATCCATATGTGGTTTGAATTCCAAGCAGTATTTGCCCCAGATTGTTTCCATCCTGCCCATCTCATAGAAAGACAACAGCGTCTTGGTATTAGGATTCATGCGGTGACTGCTTGGAAGAATATCAGGCTTGACTGGAGCTCTGTGCTGCATTGCAACCGGAGGGAACAGGCGAAGTGATTCACATAATGCGCCGTGCAGATAAACCAGTTTCTTCATCTCTTCTAGGTTGGAAAACTGCCACCTTCCTTCTTTTACCTGTAAGTTACTCAGTATCTCTTTTCAAACCATATTTTCTTCAATAGGATTTGAAGCAGGGAGCCAAAAGAACCAAGTGAGACCTGCACCAATGGTATCTTTACCCGCAAAGATTAAAGTGAGTAAAGCGTCTCTCCAAATTTTTTGAGACACTATTATCAGATGTTCTATTCTCTTCTTTGAGAACTCTGGCTGCTTTCATGTACCTTGCTAACAAGTCAAGGCCTCCTCCATCTTGCAAAATCGCAGTTTGGTTTATATCTTCCAAGTTTTCAGACTTAGATGAGATGTTGGTAGCTAAAAATTGATGAAGGTTCTCCCGAGCTTTAGTTAACTTCTTTTCCGCACCAATTTGAAGCCACCTCTGAATCTTCCAGCAAGTTCTGGGTACCACATGTCTGTAAAAGACTGCTTCCTCGGCATCAGCTAAGGTATTTCCTAATGGACTTTCTGGCAAGTCAATACCGAGTGAAGCAGGATCATGACCCAATACTAATATGCAAGTGGTGTCAAAGGTAAACTTGGCAAATAGTTGTTGCAAGTCCACCTCCATACCTGACTTGGCCGCATGCTCCAGGACAGGGATCAGCCCTTTCTCCAACTTGTTCCAGCTAGTTATTCCCACAAACTTCTGGAATCCCTGGTGATTAATTAGTGGCATGATTGTTTTCCTTTGGCTGTCCCAAGATTCGCATTCAGCATTGAAGATCCCCTCTCCTAGAATGTCAAACATCTTTTCAAACTCAGGACCCTTTTGAAAGTTTGAGAAGTTTTTACTCAATATGTAGTTGACGTTAGCAGAATCGCTGGTGACCAGCATATCCATATTTGCAAACCAAGGACCTTTAAACTCAAATGTGCCTCCACTTTCTTGCAAAATCTCGGTTATATAATCCTGGGTGCGGTGTACATTTAGGAACAGGTCTGGCATCATGCCAATAACCGGCCAGTTAAAGGGAATTGAGGTTTTCTCTCCTTCTCCTCCTCCAATACCCATAGCACGCAAAAAGAAAGTAGACGACCACACAGAGAATCTGAGGGTATAGAATGATAGCCATCAGAATGTAGATGGATTACTTCATGAGTTAAAGAGGTTATTCAATGCCGTCCCTCGAGGCTTCTTATATGGGGCATTTTTCAAGCACGTAGCTATAAGAAGGACAGGCATCTAAAAGGACGATTTTCTGTTCAGTGCCTGAAGAAGTTAACAAATGCAATGTGGCCTTGGTTGTATTTTGTGCTTGTAAGGCGCCATATCTCTTCTGAAGAGGTTTTAGGAATGCTATTGACATGACTTTCAGGTACACAGAAAAGAGGGGAAGTTGTGACTTTTGCTGTATGATGTAATATGTTGGTAGGACTTGCAACTTTTCAATTTTACGTTGTGAGTGCATACATCAACTATATTCAGACTTTATTCGGTATCTCTTGATTCAGGTTTCACATAATATAAACAAATTATATAGCGTTTGCAATATATCACAAGCAATTACATCAATATGTAACTGACAGATTGCTCGCTCACTAAGAATCAGTAAAAGATTAGACTAAAATCTGAAAGTGATTACAGGTATCAATTTTCTTCAAGAAAGTTGGAGGTACGAGTCCAATTGCCCGTGTTTGGTACGTGTTCTGGGGTTGATACTAAATTATGAGATCCCAGATAATTCCTGTATTTTATTAGGTATTACCACCCCCTCATTTTTAAACACTTCGGGGTGATTGTTTAGACACTTTCGCAAATACTCAAAGAGTACCAAGCGATACAAGATTGAGGGAAAGTTACAGAGTTTGTTATGCTACTAGAATCCTTTGAGAAAATGTACTTGTCTGAGAATAAAATACCAGTACCCACTCTCAATGTCTTGTGGTTCCCATACACTATCTCCCCAATGGAGATGAAACATACCAATCCCCAAATGAACCTGAGCTTCAAGTTTCCTGATTAAGAAAAAACTGGATACCGAGTTGATTGATACAAGAAGCTTCTGTTCATCTTGGAAGATGCTTCTAAGCTAAAAATGAAATTCAGCAGAGTGTGTGGCGGTCAAGGTACATCGCCAGCAACACAAACAACATTTCCTCTACATCAATGGCAAGTCAATAGTAAGAATGACTCAAGAAAGTAACAATAAATCATGTCTCAGAATACCATGTCTCAAAGATGTTTGATCAGAAAATTTGTGTAATTTTGGGGGGAAGGAGGGTTGCCCATGATGGAGCAGAAAGCAAGACAGGAAGTGAGGGATGAGGTGGCTCAAGTATTAAGTCAGGTTGTAGTAGGCATATCCAAATTGCCTATCACTAGCTTTGGCAACTCTCTCTCAGTCACAGAATCTGGACTTGGTTATAACCTGATCATAATTTTTCTGCGGTTCCTAATACTTGCTGCATAATTAGGGACTCTTCATGTAATACAGAAACTCTCATGCATTGAAATCATATGAAAATGGGGTAATGGTTTGATATCCTCAAATGTTGCTGGAACCCATACAAATTAAGAGAATCAGCTTGAAGGGAGTCTGGTTGTCAGTTAGAAACCTAATTGTTACCCCTGAAGGCTCTAAAGTATTTGTATGCCAAGAAACCTTCAATCAAATGCAGCCCTTCATAATTTATAAAAATTACATCAAATTAACAACTCTACTAAGATGCGATTCTCAAAAACAATTCCGACGCTGCAATTCATTAGTATCACATAACGCATAGCTATGTCTGACTCAGATTAAAGGACCAAAGCAATCATTAAATCATTAAATAACAACACCCCAGCTTTTTACCACACGATATTCTTGTCCCACAGCATCATTATTTGGAGATTAATCAATTAGTAATGAGTCAATTTTACGACAGAAATATATGATCACCCACCTACATACCTAGTCGACATATCCAAACCTCACTAAGGTTGCATCTCATTCAGAATCATCAACGACATTGTCACAACAGTTGAAACTACTCATCTGGAACAAAAGTTTCTCCCAAAAATGACACTCTAGATGAACCTGATTAAAGAGTATCACTCTAGTCAAAAACCAAAGAAACAAATTCAGGATAATCAGCCTATAAAAATCTTCATCAAGTTGTGTCAGAAGAGATATAAACTACAAGCTTTCCCACTTGAATTTGATGAAAAAATGAAGTCTAATTAACAAAACTTACAGGGCAGGCATTACAGCCAATAGCAAAACAAGAAGAGCAACCAACTATTCTCCTCAACTGCCACCCTCCTCCTCCAACTTCTTCACATAAGCCTGTAGCGTCATAACCAAATTCCTAGCAGGGGCCTGCAAAGTTCCAACAACAGCAGATGCAGGACCCTTGAGCGATCCCAGAATCTTAGCATAAATTTCAGCTCTTGATGGCAAAGATTCCAAGGCCTTAAACTCCTCAGGCCCATAAAACTTCCCTTCAAAAACAGCCCCAGTAAAATCATTCCCTTCCAACTTTTTCTCCCTCTGAAACTCCCTGTAAGGCTTTATTGCAGTTGGGATTTCTTCACTATGGACAAATAACCAGGCATTCATTCCCTTCATGCATGGCTTCAGTGCTTCCCACTGAGTACCTTCAATGGCTTTATAAACAAGAGTGTTTTTAGCAACGAGAAGTTTCGAGGATTCTGGGAGTTGCCTTCTAAGTTCTTGAAATTGTTTGACGGTGAAGCCTTTATAGCCAATGCCAGCGATGAGATAGCAACCTTGAAGCTGTAGTTTGACTGATTCAACAGTTTCTTCTTTCTTGGTTCTGCTGATGGCTGAGCGGATCGTTAAAGGTGCGAACTTTGGGCGGCGGCAGTGGTGGTGGTGCGTGGTGAGGAAGGGGTTTCTGAAGTGGGATTTTAGAGAAACCTTGTGGGAATTGGATGGGAGGGTGGGTGTTGGGGGTCTGGAAGAAGGTAAGGTGAAGAGATTGGCCTCCATTTCCAGAGGGATTTGTGGCCTTTTTGTTGCTGAAGCGCTCCAGTAATGTTTCGGGTCTGAGATTGTTCGTTCACCTTATCCTTTCTTTTGGTTGGAGGTAGGGGCCTGAAACGGCTGCGTTTAACGAATCAATTCTTACCATTTTTCATGATTTACCCCAAACTTTTATATGAATTAGTACTGTCCTATTCATCCAACTTTAGCACAATTTCCTTAACTTTTCAAAACTTGTTTCTTGAAATTGATCCAATCCTGTTCAAGTCAATTTGGAAAATGATATTAGTGATATTAGCGCTTCTCAAAAAACCTCAATTACTTCTTAAACTTCATCTAATGCAAAAGAAGGCACGAAAAGTACTAATATTATTTTCTCCTAAATTTTTAGAAAATAATAGTTACATCTAAGACTCGGGAAATTTTAAATTCTTTTTGTTCCTGCAATTATATCTTGAATAAACTTCATATTTCTGAAGCTATTTAACTTAAGAGATAAAAAACTACTTTCGTTCTGAAATTTTATTGGTTTGCCTTTGCTGAAAACGTCCTACAACTACAAGTGTCGTTATTGACTGCAAGAATTGACTTGCACAGATTATTTTCGCATCCTGGAGAGACCATATATAGATACGTATGACAGAAAACAGTAAAAACACAAAGTTATCGGATCAAAATGCTGGTGCACAGCACAGCTTAGTTCCCATGAGCTGAACTGTGAGCAGAAGTGTACGACAACTGCTTATGGTATCAAAATTCAATTGCAAGTATTCCACAGGGACTGAGTGGAGAATAGTTTGTGGTCTGAATTGATAATCGTGAATGCAAAGTCTGCTGCACTGAACTGGAAGGTAAAGAACGTGCTGAAGAATATGGATTGGGCAAAGTATCAAACTTTGGCTTCCAACTAAGGAGCACTCTCTCTTTCCAAAATGAAATCAACCGCCTCTGCCACTGTATCAACCACCTGTGTAGCCAATCAATCAAAATTCACACATAGTCGGCAACTGCACAGGAGAATGACTGGGTCACAGTTGAAGTATTTGCTTATCTTTTGAACGAAACAGTTCACCAATTTGGTTCATGGTGGATGTATTCTTAATGTTGTCAAAGAAACCAAAAAGGATAAACAGCAAAAGGTAAGCTGAACTTCAGATGAATATTCAGGGTTTATTGGAAGATCTCTGGGGCCATTAAGCTGGTAAATTATAATTGAGGTTGTATAATTCAGGCACTCAATCTTTATCCTTATTGACTAGTGTACCAAAACAAGAGTTTTTGCACATTGTAGTTCATCATATCAAAATAATGATTGTAGATGTTAATTTTCGTGTCAAGTGTCCCGTAACAGTCTGTTCCAAAAGCCAGCAAAACGATTTAGCTCATCATCTATTGAATGTATCATCATCAGACTTACCACATCAGCTGGATATTCAGCATGATTTTCCGTTTGCCTAAATACACCTGTTCTAGTCAAAATTGAAAACCAAGGATGTCCTGCCTGAGAATTCAAAGGGTAAAGAAAAGAACTGAGAAGAGAGACCAATGTCACTTGATTTCAAACATCAATTTTTGCATAGCTGAGATTAGAGAGTACTGTTACAGAAACAAACCTGTAATGCCCCTTTGATGTCTACTAAAGGATTGTCACCAATCATATAGAGGGTCGTAAAAGAATGTGACGACGAGTCTTCATCTTCCGGCCTAATGGCATTACCATGACATGAGAATGCCCAAATATGCCTTAATATAGCTTCAGCATTCCTAAAAACAAATGGATTTGGCTTCCCAAAAACTGTACACTCCAGCGGCATGTCGTGAATTCTGCACGGAACACGTACTTAATGAGTTTTCGTATCATATAATGAAAAAAAAAAAAGAAATTCTGATCCAAATTGCATTGGTGAGGATGTCTTCAGGTTCTCTGGACAAGTACTTAAAAACTACTACTACTTGACAGCAGGTTCTCTACGCTCACCTGTTGAAGACACTTTCAAGGGCAATTCTGAATGCACCTATGCCAAGACGCTCGGAAGGAAATGCAGCCTGTCCTAGATTAATGCATTATCAGTATCTCCTTAGTGAAAGGAAAGACTATCTACAGCGACAGGAGTAACCTTTCGAACATAACTAAAAGCAAACATCACATGAAGGCAATCAGTTACCTGATATTGAAGATCATCAGCAGCAAAAAATAGCGGTGGCTGATGTTCTTCCTCCCCTCCAAGAAGACCTCGAGAGGATAAAATGTCACAAAGGACCTAATGCATCAATTAGTAGACCCACAAGGAGTAACGACTCAAATTTTTGCTACTTATGAGAAACATCAAACAAGGAAAACAGCGACTACAGGAAAAGATTGAAGAAAGAATAACCAATGTAAAGGTAAAGAACAAAGACTCGTGTATCTCAAAACTAGCCGTGTTTAGCTATAGTTGCATCACATCTTATTTTGTCTATATTTTAACGTATCCGTTGGCATAAGTGAGCAATGCAGTATTCGACAGGAAAAAGACAAAGCGAAAGCAAGGCTTATGACTTGTCACTGGAAAGAAATTACAAGAAAATTTTTGGTGTCTGAAGTATCCATGCTTTGTTTCTTGCCTTGATGTTCCCTTCCTGACTAGATTAGAACTTCTGTCATCTCTTTTTTCTTCCTTTTCCATCTTCATCACCACATAAGATCATTAGGTGATTTAAGCAGCTAATAGCAAAGATAGCCTTGTAATCCTTGCAATGGATTGAAGCTGGGGCCATTACTACTCTGGTGTGGCCAAGCTATCCTTTGCAATCATATTGAACAAAAACCATTCTGGAGGCATTAAATTCCTCAGCTTAAGTGTCACTGGTACTTGTTATTATGACCATATTTACACTTCCAGTCATGATTCATTGCTTGGTACAAACTCAAAACTATTCATTGCATGATTATATAGTTAGTAGCGTAGGCTCTAGCAGAAAATTTAACATGATAATGCAGTCATATCTATCAATTCACTGCAATAGAAATCAAGTTAAAATATAATCTGCTCATACAATTACAGTTATAAGTAGCCGAGGGGCAAAAGGTACACATGCAATCCATATCTAGAAAGAAAATTGATCATACACCTGAATATCTCTCCCCCAGTCAACAGGATCACTAACAATAAATGCAGCCTTTACTCTGTCGAGGGAAACATCTTGAATTGACTTCATTGAAAATGGTAGCATATTTGATTCCTGCTTAACCTTCCAGCTTTTGTACTGAGCTACAGGATCAATGTTATCAAAGTATGATGCATAGTCGTCCAGTGAGATAACATTTCTGGACATATTTTCAAATTATAGACCAATTTAATTGAGCCGATATAAAAAAATCCGGACTGCATTGGATACTAAAATACGAAAGCATCATGTTGAAATATGATGCTACAACTTTCCTGAAACCATACTCAGACATCACCAGTTCAGGTTCCCCTTTTCCAGTTGCAACAATGAAATCATTTTTGAACCTGGAAAAATAGGAGAATGCGAGATACAAATGAAGGGAATGTGCGGGAAAGCTAAACGAAGTGAAGCTCAGTGAATTACATATCTACCTTTTCAGCAAGCTTCTAAAACATGAATGCCCCTGTACAACCTGTATCGAATGTCAATATAGAAAGCT